ATTCACATCACAGTGTGGACGCTAGACGAGACAAAGATCGGTGTCTCTACACCATGTCTATGTCTCAAGTCTAGACGGTCTCTAGACCACCTAAAGAAAATCGCGCAACGTGGTCTCCAAGTGAGTACTTACCTTAAGAAATAGTTTGGTTGCAATAAAGTAGAATCACGTAACAGAGTAGTTGTATAGTTGACAAAAACTGAATCTTGAACTGATAAATGTCGTATAGCGGCTGCAAGAGGCTTACACTTTTGTTGTATAACTGTTACCTGCACCCTTATACAACCTCCTAAATGACTGATGTGTCCTATTAGGTATGCCCATTCCGCTTGTATAGCTGTTCTAAGAAGGTTTTGCCAATGTTCTTACAGTATACAATGCTGTGTAAGGAATACTGTATAATCATTCTTGCAACTCTAATAGGAGTGATATTTGTTAGTTGAGATTAGTGTAATTGTGTCTAAATATAGGATTTGTGGAAGATTTAACGCAGATAAGTTCAGTTTTACATCCTAAAAATCTAGACATACTTTTGATCATTATTAAAATATGAATCAAATACGAAGCCCGTAGAAACTGCGTAACTACTTTGCACCATAATCACAATAAAATTTGCTGCGCAAGTAATTTAATAGCCCTATATCACAGTGTAGAAGTTTATCATATACCTGTGTATGAAATTCACAATGGCCGATATGTAAGTAAACAAGATGACTGTAATGTGTTAGGTTATATATTCTTCACGTCGTCTATACAATACCTAAGAAATAGTTTGGTTGCAATAAAGTAGAATCAGGTAACAGAATAGTTGTATACTTGACAAAAACTGAATCTTGCACTGACACAAATGTCTTATAGCGGCTGCAAGAGGCTTGGACTTTTGTTATATAACTGTTACCTGCAGCCCTTATACAACCTCTTAAATGACTGAAGTGTCCTATTAGGTGTGCCCATTCCGCTTGTATAGCTGTTCTAAGAGGGTTTTGCCAATGTTCTTACAGTATACAATGCTGTGTAAGGAATACTGTATAATCATTCTTGCAACTCTAATAGGAGTGATAATTGTTAGTTGGGTTGTTTGCCACTTTGGTAGGCATGGGAAGGCAAATATATCCTAAAATACACATTAAGACTACGTGATTTTAGCACCGTATAAACATGTAAGCTTAGCTCGTTTTAACCTTTTCAATTTGTTCATGAAAACTGATGATAAAAGTAGCTCAAAGACTTGTTTGCTTTCTATAACCACGTATCAGAATCATTGTATTTGGTGAACTTCAAACTTGTACAATAGTTCATATGGATGAGACTCATTTCGAAATATCTATACGATATAAACCGTTCCAACTTCACGCATAACTTCCTCATATCAGATGGCAATCTACGTACGTACGTAGGATACCATCTGCATACACATGTGTGCTTGCTAATCGCATTATCGCGTATGGTAGATGTGTCCGATGTCCTTATAATTACCACCTACATTATGCCCTCCTTCATCCCCAAGATCCCGTATCCGGCATTACAACCGCAATCCGGTTACAACTTGCTACTAGTTTCAGTTAGTTGCTTCCGCGTTGGTGGCCCAGCCTATACAGGATCATATTCAATGCTGGACCATTTGCTGAACTAACTTTCTTTTAAAAAATAAAGCAAATCAATAGCCCGTTTGATATCTGTTTTTTGCTTGTATATATTTTCATTTTGATTTTGCGGAAGTGTTTGCGCGACTTTTTTCTTCGGTATGGTCAGGTTTTGGTATCAAGTATATTTTACAAGGATTGCGATAATTGCAATTCTTCATTATTTACCTGAAAAACAATTATTTACTGATTTCTGAAATGAGAATGACAAGTATGTTAATTATGGAAAATCACTATACTGAACATAATACTAAAATATATTAAGGGTCGATTCACCACCATTAAAATCTAACGGCGTCTTCGACTAGTTAGGGGACAGCTTACTGAAATACAATTTGACGGAAGCTGTCAAAGCTCTCCGAACATCAGTCATTTCTATTGAGATATTGAATAAAATCGTGAAAAAGCGGTTGTTTTATAAATAAGGAAACATTCTAGATGTAATACCATGGCTTTGAGCTTTAGAATTAGGATAACTTTCAGAGAAGTCCCAATTTCTACCATTTCATAAAATACGGAAGCTTATTTGAATGGACCTATCAAAATGCGAGAAATAATAGGTCGATTTTTTGGCTATTATATTTAATAGGATTTTTTCACTGTGTATGACGAGGTTAGTTTGGGGTCTAGTATTACCGCCAGGTATATGACTTCCCCCGACAGTTTTAACTGTTTTGCCAGAAGGTATAAAGGTCCTAACCCATTTGATTTCTTCCTTCTGCTGAAAGCAACCATGTCTCAGAGAGACTTGCTTGCTCTGGAGGCTGTTTTTTTTCTTTCTTCAATGTCTTTTTCTTTCTTCAATGTCATACTTAATTAACCACAGAAGTAATGTAACAAGCTGTATGATCCCCCTGAACAAACTATTTATGAGCGCCATTCTCTGCCCGGAGTTCAATGCAAATCAAAGATAGTTAAATTCCGTAGATGATTCCTGGACTTGAACTCTAGACGGTCCGCTTACCAACTACCGGCTTATTGAAGAGATGCCCAGTGGTACTGACTTTTAGTGGTCGACATGGGGAACACTGAACCCTATTAGAACAGACATACCGCCAGTAAAAGGTAACTAAATAATAAGAATCAACAATTGATGGAAAATGGGGGTAAGGGTAGGGGGTTGCTAGACACGTGTAATCTGAACGAAAATCTAAGTTCATTCACAGGAGGCGGGCTCCAGTGGGATATTTTGAGGAGGGAGGACTTCTGGGAGCGAATGTTCTTGTGATCGTGTGACGATAGAAAAACGGGGACAGGGGGTTACCGAATACTGAAAATTGAAGAATGGGAGGACCAGAATTTTCTAGGTATTTACCTTTCCCCAGTAATCGTACATTTAGCAACACAGTGTTAAAAGTGTTACGATGGAATGTCGTTGATATAAACGCCATTGTGCTTAAAGCACAGAACTTTCCGTTCCGTTAGTAGCTAAAAAATTTCTCAGGATATTTTCTTAAAACTCTTTATGAAAGAAGCCTTTCAATCTTTGGCTAGTCAGTGGATGGACCCAATATTTGCGAAATTTTTTATGACTGCTTCTGAGTATTAGAGCAACAACACATACAGCCCTCTCGAAATCTCTTTGAAAATGACGTCCAGTTTCGCAGTTTTTAACCCTAGTGTGTGCGTCTCTCGGGCGGTTTTGCGGTTTACCGCTTGCGGGAAAAAACCGTAGTGCAGCCTAAGCCTAAGGGATGAGGATGTGCGTTCGTAGTCATAGGCAAACCCAAATCTACGCCTCTCGTGTGCTCGACTGCCTGACTGTATATGCATATATATGATTGATATGTGACATAAAACTACAAAGACTACAAAAAATTTACTTTTAGCTTTATTTTTGGTTCCAGCTTTTTTTCGGAAATATTTGAATTATTTTGAAAAATCGTGGAAAATGACGTTTTCGGTAAATATGCTCATTTCGGTAAAAATACCGAAGAATCCGGTTCAAGTCCATGCATGGAACTTGTAATATGAATTTATAGTCTAAATTCTATGCATATCCATTCATATTCGTCAATATTTCATTTGACGCTTCTATTTTTCATAAGATTTTAGCGAAATGTAAAATAGAGGCAACACCGCACACCGCAGCTCAGTTGACAAGAACGACAAGCTGACGTCAAAATGTAGAACTCGGGGTACTACCGACAGAGCCATTTGGGGCATCATGGAAATAATTTTAAAATTTTCATTTGCATTTTCTTAAATGTTGTGCAACAATTTTGGGAAAAATTCCACGTACAGGCTTATAAAGCATAGTAGAGTATATTTCAACAATTTGAAGAGGTTGACCCACTGGGAGGAATCCTTGACGGATCCCACAGAATTATGTGTCACTGCCGATATGGGCAGTTTTGAAATATCAGGGGATCATAAGCTGTTATTCAAATCATGTCTCATATAACCTAGAATGTGTACTCACTAAAAAAAAAAGAAAATTATTGCAAATTCTAGTTTTTTTGTAGGTTTCAGGTTTGCTGGCAGCTCTACGATATATATTTGGGTATTTCTTAATCGCTGTAAATATAGTGGGATGTATGTTCACTTCCTGAACGACGAAAAATATTCAACTTGGTGGATGGATATAAAAAATCCTGAATGGTTTTGTGCAAAAATCTATCTAATGTAACCATAATGATACTGATGAACGGCAATTAAATGAAGCAATAACTATGAAATTTTTGGTAGAGTCTTTGTCATCAAGTAGATGTTTAATGGCAGTCTGCAAAAGGTTTATAGGAAAACACACACGGTAGGTGATGTAAAATCAGTAAAATCGCATATCAATTGAAGAAAATAATATAAACATAAATCAAAAATCAACAGTAGTAAAAAAAGTCATGAATTTTATTCAAAAATCAAACATTTATTTAAATTTTGACTGAATTATATGTAATTTCTTAATACTCTTTCAGCTGATGATGTTTCAATGACAAGCTGTCATCTCATAACATACTGACAATATTTTGTTTTCAATATTTCCAGCTATTGGCTGCTAAAATTTGAATCTTGAAGCTCATTCGCTATATTTGACGGACTGTTACCGTATAGAGAATAACGGCCTGTTAATATGACAATCCTGGTGGAAGATATTCAAATTTTGTATGTAAAGTACACACAAATACTTTTTTAATTTACTTAATTCACCTTTGTGACTTTCCAAAAGCATTAGTTTCCTTTCCAAGTCACAATCATCATAGGGCATTGAAAAATTATATTACTTTATATTACAACGCGAGGAAATTTTTCAATCAATCTTCTTGACTACCTTGAAGTTCAAATTTAAAATATTTAAAATGCACGACACCTTCAATATCAGGTACAGTGAATGCTTACAATAATATGTTCAACGATAATGGTTTTTTTACAGCAGGAAAAGATACCGCATTACATAACATATAAATATGGAACGAGGGATAATTTTATATTATTTTTATTTAAACGCTATCGTATTATGTCTTGATAAACTGGTTCTCATGTAATCTTACTCGTAAACAGATAGTATTATTCAATAAGACATGAACAACTCAGTTGAAATAGAATAATTGTAGGAACAACACATACATACATGCAAACCATGTCATTAATAACAGTTCTTGTGGTAACAGTTATTTCAGTGCTAAGTCGTAGTGACGCGCACAACATACTAGCGGTAGTGAGCCATCCAGGAGTGAGCCACTTCAAAGCCTATGAAAATCTCTTTGTAGGCTTGGCTAAAAAAGGACACAATGTGACGGTGATCAGCCATTTTCCAAGGAAAAATCCTATACCGAATTACAGGGATGTGAGCATTAGAGAAGATCGCCCTTACAGGTATAGCCGCAGTTGGTCAAGATGTTCCCAGTAATTCAAATCGTTTCAAAGAGTCGATGACATTGACTTCAAAATATCTAAGATATGGCAATTTGTCGCCAAATCGGTAACTTGTGATGTGCTTTGGCGACGGTTTTTTTATTGGCAAATTACTGGTGACTTCCAGGAATAACTTTTGCTGCACAAACTGAGAAAATGACACACGAAGTCACAAGCACGACCCAACATACCTTCTTTTCTCTTTGTAGATCCTTTTGGCTTGAAGTACCACAGCAAGTCGCTATAACCGGTCGCGTGGTTATAGTTAGATGTCGCCTTGAAAATTCGAGGTCTTCTGGCCATTTCATACTACAATGTGTAGATTGGCTCTTGCTTGTGACTTCGTCTGTCATTTTCTTTCCCTTTCCATCTTCGTTTCTTCAGGTTACAGCCGTATCTGGATGTATGGCCATGTGTATCTACTTTTGTAGTTGCATATGAGCATTGATTTCGAGCCTGATGAAGCCAACAAGCAGAAATACGTATCGCTCGGGTTACCTAACCTATTTTCTGCTCGAATTCACTTTGCTTCTTTGTTGAATTTGCCCATTATTTTTCTACTTGTTATATACCTTTTTCCGTATGACCCTTTCCTCTTTGTATGTAAATATATACAGGGTCCGGCAGTGAAACGGGAAGATTTAAAAAAGTTATCACAAACTAATTTATAACAATTTATTAATTAATTTAACCAAAATGCAATGTACATTAGTGGAATTTAGTGTTTATTATTGTTTATTTTTTTCTTAAAAATTGTATCAGCTAGATGTCGCCATTGGTTTCTTACACATTCGGCGATATTGTATTCCCTGGCCTGCCCGTTCTCCGGACTTGACCGCTCCTGACTATTTCATCTGGGGGTATTTAAAATCAAAGGTTTTCCAGATACACCCACCAAGAAATAAGGAAGATTTGAAAACCCGAATTCGTCAAGAAATCGACAATATTCCATTGGATATGCCACGTAGAGTTATCGGTTCGTTCTGCAACAGACTCCGAGAATATATATGTAAGAAACCAAGGGCGGCATCTAGCTGATACAATTTAAAAATAACCATTTAAGCTACAACACTAAATTCCACTAATGTACATAGCATTTTTGTTTGTGATAACTTTTTTAAGACTTCCCGTTTCACTGTCAGACCCTGTATATACACCTTAGGAAAAACCATTCTTATACATGGGAAATCATTTCTTGGCAACAGCGCATCGGCTCGTCTACTTTCATCGCTATTCGTACATATTTCCTACCGTTAACCGCAGACCTGCATCACGAATGAGAATAATAGGCAGATATGCTGTGTTGCCAATTTGAGTAGAGCTTCCCGAATTGTGGGGAATTTAGAGTTAAGTGTTGATTCATTCAAGCTTTTAATCAGCATGGCCTAGACGTTAGAACTTCATAAAGATAACATTGAAGCTGAATGCTGCTGGAGTATAGTGTTTCGAATATTCAAAGCGGAGCGGGACACTATACTCGTTCAATGGGTCACCAAGCCACAGTCTTTTCAACAAAAAAAATATTTTACGAAAATGCGTTATATTTTTACGATTTTGTCGTCACCAAATCTCTGTTTCTCAAAATGTACGTCTATTGTAGAATTTTCAGCAAACTAAGCAAGAAACGTGATCTAGTATTTACTCAACATTACGGATTTCTCGAAATACATTGAAAAATGTGACCTAGATACCTAACTGCCCCAAGTTCTTTAAATATAACACCTTAAACCAGGGTTACCAGGTGCTCAGTCACGTTGATTGTCATGTTGTACTGCGCAAGTCAGCAAACAATCTGGCGTAATAAACGTTAGGAATCATTAGGTATTGCCAGATTCCCGAATACCGGGCACCATAGTAACCGTTATAGTTGTCCTTCAAAGTTGTCAAATCGCCCCTATGGCGCAAATTCGCCACACCAGGCAACTGTGCTATAAACAAACCCTGTTTATCACTACTATTTGATAGTCATATGGTAGTTGTAGCCCTATCTAGCGGTCCATGATTTCTCTCAATACTGTTGTATCTCTACTGGCAACAAGAATAGGGATTACAAAATCATTTATACAACAATATACAAACATGAAAAATATGATTTGAACCATGAAACATTAATACAATTTTAATAGTTTGAACTTTTTTCATTTTTGGAATACTCTTATGTGGAATCCGCAGCTATTTTTCCCGAAATTTGGGTAGACTTAGATTTCTTAGAAATATGACATATTGGTATCGGCAACTCTGCGAATGGGAGAAACAAATCGCATTTGTTGAGCGCATCCGTCTAAGCGGTAGGCGCCAGCGCCCGTTCTGCCATCTCTCTCTTTTATCACTCTTCTACTTTACCCCTACAATCGAGTGTCTTTCACGCACCTACATACTTTTGTATATTTCCATCTCTCTTCCTCATCATAATGTATAATAATGTTTTTTCCCAAAGTGTATATATATATATATATAACTTGAGACGTGGTCATTGTCGTCTAGACCAGTTATATATATAATATATATATATGACGATATCGCAACATACAGCATTAGTTGGCTGGAGAACAGACATAGGTATATGTACCTGTGACAATCACTCTAAATACGAAATATATACCCTTACTTATTTTGATCGGACCGGCGACTGAGCGCTTCCGCGCCAGACACCTCATGCCAAAGTCCATCAAGCCGGTTGGGCTGTAGCTCGTGAAATAGATATATAATTTTCCAGTACAGCAGCCTATCTGCTATTCCAGACTATAATCTATCTCTGTACCAAATTTCATCCAGATCCGGTCAGCCGTTTTGGCGTGATTGTTTAGCCTCACTTTCTCATTTATATAAGTAGAAATTAGGTGAATTAGGCTCCGCATTTAGACTAGTGCCACATTATGAGTGTAAAAGTGACTTTAGTGACTGCTCCTAGACATTGTTGGAATAACTTTTTTGCAGCGGCCTGCAGAACATCCAAAGCAGTCTGCACACTGACCTTTTTGGTATACAAGACCAAATGTTACTGGTGGAGTATGGAATACAGAGTTGTGAGAGTATGAAACATAAAAATTTCCAAATGTTTTTGAAAGAAAACAATCACTTCGATTTAGTAATACTCAACGAATTTAGCAATTTATGCTATAGAGGATTAGCCAAGAAATATGACGCTCCTTACATAGGTAAGAATATTTCCGTTTCACAGTATAAACAAGAAATACAAAATAGATTTAACCATACAGTGCTTTTCAGTCCACTAATTTTTTGAACGGATAAACTCGGAATGATAATATTATCGCCTGATTACTATGTTTGAACGACAAAATAACAGTTTAAAATTACAAGATGGCGGTTGCTCGCGATCTTTATTCGGGAACCGAAAAGGAAGAAAGCAACAAAAAACATATCGCACGACTATGCTAACGCGGCATCTTTTTAAAATATGGCAGGGAAACCCGCGCGCCGACTTTATCAACACGAAAAGATACCGCGTTAACATTGGCCTGCGATGTGTTTCGCTGCTCCCTTCCTTTTCGGTTCCCGAGTAGAGTAAGATGTCTCAATTTAAAATCTAGACGTATTATATTGTATTAATCTTCTCCTTTTCGAATGATCGATCTGAATCTGTAATAAAAAACATCCCGAAAAGCACTGTATGTAGTAATATTCTAAGACTTAAATAATTTTGTCTACTGACAATGTGAGTTGACAAGAAGCATACTGAAATTATGCTATCTGGACAGAAATACTTCATACATGATATATGTTAAACATATAACAGAAATTCAATAGATGATTTTTCAGATCACCCTAAGATCATTTGGTTATTGAGTGTTGCATTTTAGTTGGAGGTAGTTATCCAAGCAGTCTTTGGAGATTGCAAAACTTCACATGCGATTTTCCTTTATAGGTAAAGCATGTTATGTTCGCAGTGATTTCCCGAAATTCGTGAAAGGCTAAAATAGTCTTTGAGCAGTCCAAGTTGAACAGACTGCTTTCACTGCTAAAATAAATAACCACCAAGTTTCAAGCTTCAACTGTCTCTTTCAGGTTTGGGAGCGTCCAGCATATTTGTCTGGCATGCCCTTCACACTGGGTCGCCAGAGCACGCGGCTTACATGCCTAGACTGGCCGCGCCCTATTCAGATCGAATGACTTTTTTGCAACGAGTAGAAAACTTTGTATCGATGGGTGTAGTCTACTGGTATTGCAATTTCAAGTATCCATCATTTAGTAACGAGTATTCGAAAAAATACTTAGGCGTGGATATACTGGAAAATAATTTCCTCTACAACATGAGCCTATTGTTTATCAATATGCATTTTTCTCTAAATTTCCCTCGACCCTTCACTCCGAATATAATCGAAATAAATGGATTGCATATTGGAACACCGAAGAAGCTTCCCGAGGTAAATTCTCAATATATATAAAAATGTCTTAAGCCAAACGCGACAACGAATAATTATTCTGTACCTTACCAAACACGGAGAAACTTCATATTTATTATATTTCCGATTTGTCCATTTTAGCACTTAGAACAATATATATCCGAATCAAAGAATGGTGTAATATACTTCAGTCTTGGTTCCACTATGAAAGGACATACTCTGCCAAAAGAGAAAAGAAATGCCTTCCTAGAGGTTTTTAGGGATATGCCTGAAAGGATAATTTGGAAATGGGAAAACGATACAATGGAAGGAAAACCCGATAACGTGTTGTTACAGAAATGGACGCCTCAGTTTGACATTATATGTAAGTTTTCTGATAATGAACATGCTACTACTATCGACAATCATTCAATTATGGCCTCAACTCTTTTTAACTGACTGACCAATGTGAGCAAATAGATTTGTTTTGATCAAGTATTTAGTTAGATTTTCGTGATTATATAATTGTCTTATGTTCTTCCTTTCGTGACCATTCCAAGATAATTGTTTATGTTTGAAAATAATTTCGAACATTCAATATTTGAAATATAGTTGAAATAACATAAGCAGATATTTTTGTAACTCTCACTCATATTACGTAGTGAGCAACGATAGCATTCACTATTATTTTCTACAGGAATAACCTTCATAGTAACAAATACTTTGAGTAACCCATGATTATACAGTGCTTTTCGAAAAGGCCCCCTTTCCTTTTTTCTGAACGGATCAAGCTATCCATGAAAATTGGGGTTAAGTTAATCGATGCATGAAGACTTTGTTTAACATAAAAGTAACAATGAAAAATTGCAAGATGGTGACTGGGCGTCTTTTTGAGCCCCTTTTGAGTACTGACTTTGACTATAAACTCGCTATCTTACAAAATGGCGGCCTGTTAGAATTGAGCGTATTTGAACATTGAATCGCTTATAACTCAGCAATTAATCATAAACGTTATAGTATAACAATCTTCTGGATGGATCTATCTATCTATTGGCAGATTGACATTATTTTTGAATGGAACGTTCCATATTTTATTACAGATTTGCACAAGAGCAATATTGATAATTTGATAATTAGTCGTTGACGATTCAATGTAAAGAAAAAATCAACTTTGGCTGGCCACCAAACAGCCATTTACAAAATGGGGCATCACAAGACCCCCACTGTTTTCAAAAAATGTTCCAAGATGGCGACTGAGTGGCACATGTTATTTTCACGTTAAAATATAATATTCATGCATACATTTTATGAGCCCGAATTTCATCTTGCTAACTTGAGTATTTCAAAAAATTAATTAGGATCCGTACCTTTCTGAAAAGCACTTATATTTAGTGGCGGGACACTGCCTTTTCATTTATCCTGTAGAAGCAGCTCTTCTTGAGTAAACAATTACTTATATTTTAGGCCACCCCAACGTAAAAGCTTTCATATTCCAAGGTGGAATGTTGTCCCTATCCGAGGCAGCTCATTGTGGAGTACCTATTATAGCCATACCTCTTTATGGTGATCAACCAACAAATGCAAAACTCATTGAATCCAGAGGCGCGGGTGTCGTTTTACAGATAGAAGATGTGAATGTAAAGAATGTAAGGAAAGCTGTAAACGAAGTGCTATCTACGAAGTAAGTACTTTTACCATGTCTATGAAATTCGCCTCAAATTAGCACAGAAGTGGAAAGTTCCGATGAAAAGCCATCCGAATCGAAAGTAAGAAAGTATTACGCAGGAAAATTCTAGTCAAAATAATCAGTCGTTTTATACTCGAAGATCGTCAGTGGGTGGAATATGCTATTAGTTTTTGGAGGTGAATCCCATGACGTTTATAATCTTCCCTGAAAGTCAACCACATGACGATTGTAGATCCACCCGATATTGACTGCGAGCTTCCCCTAATATCTTGCGTTCCGCAGGGATGAGTCTATGATCAATATTCCCCTTGCAATTGTATTTCAAGATTTGAATTGACATGAGGTTCACCTTCAGATAGGGTCTGAATTAGCATGGGATTGACCTTTAGGGAGACCTAGAATTGACGTAATTCTGTTACTAACGTAAATGTTAGGAAAAATGCAGAAAGCAAAACAAAAAAATATACTTTGAATCCCAGACATATTACAATGTTGTATTCAATCGACGTTTCGTTTCCCTCATACATGAAAAAATCTTACTAAAGCTCCATAAAAAACGACCTTTACTAGATTGTAAGGTTCAAGAATGAACCATAATTCTGTCTTCAAAATACTGTTATGAATATACAGGGACAAAATTTTTCTACGTGTTTCTCATGTCAGTTCGAGTGGAAAAGGTTCTATGAGCATGGGTCCGCAAATTTAAATCGGGCGATCGGGGTGGCTCAGAAACTGCGCCTCCTCGTCCAACCAACGCCCAGGAAAAGTGTTATTTAAATACTCAGTCACAACGGCAGTTCTTCTCGTCGATTCGTCGCTGAACAAAATATTTTTAACAAGATTACGATTTGCGAGAAGCCAGCTACAAAACGGCATACGAGGGTCCAGATCAGTGAGCAGCAGAGCATTGTTCTCCACACAGTCATTCGGCTAATACCAGTGCGACGTGATATTCTGCAGACGCTGGTTGATGGTGACCGTTCAACACCATCCAGTATCAAGTCATGGGCATGATGCACGTGTTGCAGTAGCATTTGGAACGGATCCTGTTGCTTTCACATGTGCCAAAACTCTTCCGAATATACCCTTCTGTCAGGTATTTTTCGATTTGGATACTGGCGACAAGCAAACAAATGTGGACTTTAATTATTGTAAACAGTTGTTTTCTTATGAACAGTATTAAATTTTTTGTTAAATAAAAGCAATTTTCCAACAATATTGTGGTTTCGCCCACTAAAAATAAAAAAATCATATCTCGATAAGGAAGCATTTGCGGACCCATATTCATACGACTTTTTCGACCCGAATTGACCTGAGGAACACGGAAACAAATTTTATCCCTTACCTCGCGGGACACCCTGTATAATAATAGTATCGAAGTGTGTGTACCGATCATTAACCTCAACTGTACAAAAATGGCGACATGCAGGTTGGCTCTATCATCTCTGTGATGAATTAGATTTTGTTCCATTTATCTAAAAAACATATGTGTGGCTGGTCAGACCGAACAGTCTTCATCTAGCGGTCACACGGACTGCTTAAGACGTGATAATCTGTAGCGTGATTTACACTTACCAGCGTTTTAATTTAACATAAGTATGCCTATTGTGTTCTAACAGATCCGTTATAATACCGGAATTAGAAGCTTCTTCATAATATGACGTCTTTCAATGCTATCAAAGATGCAACGTTTATACTCCACTTTCGATATTCACGCGACTATACGTAATACTATTTCACCAATTGGCGTGGGAAGTGAGAGTGATCGAATACAACACATATCGGCTTTGGCATGTTTTTCTTACAACAGCAATAGTTATCGTAACACTGGGCTTTGGACATCATGCAAATCATGTGAACAAAATTATTGGGATATCATCTACGACTTTAGAAAATAACTTGGTATACGTCAAAAGTCAAATGTACACTTTATAATAAGTACTGATATGAACGTGTAGAGGTAAATAGACTAATTATACAGGGAAACCCATCAAAGCAGCGTATAAGTCCTTTTTCAAAAAGCTTTCAGGGTAAACGAAAATATGGCATTCAAAAGCTCCGCAATTCGGGTTTTCGGAAAGCAGATGTTACATAAAACAACAATACAACTATACTGTGACATATAAATCCGAACACCCAGTTTAAATGGTTTTATTTTAATAAAATTTTGTATAAGTACTTAATGAAGCATAATAAGTAAATGATAAAAATTTCAAAATGATTGCACTGCTTTAAAGCCCTTTGACCTTTAATAATGTGTGGATGTACTCTGATGTGCTACGCATTCTCCAACGCGCCTAGGCATGCTTCTGATCAGGTGGTCTATGTCCTCCTGTGGTATCTCATTCCAGGCAACCACCAACTCCTCTCGAAGTGCTTCTAGAGTCTGAGGAGGACGTTGTAAATTGAGCAATCTCCTACCCATCATATCCCACACGTGCTCAATTGGGGATAAGTCGGGAGATCTTGGTGGCCATGGTAACAATGTGACATCATTATGTTGAAAGAAGTCTATTGTGACTCTTGCAACATGTGGTTGGGCATTATCTTGTTGGAAAGTTGGATCTGCCAGGGTGTCAAGATAGGGTAAAAGATGGGGTTCTAGAACTTCGTGGATATAACGCTGCGCGTTCATGTTACCTCTGATGAAGATTAAAGGTGACCTGGAACCATAAGCTATAGCACCCCAAACCATAACTCCAACAGTGTGATGAACATGTCTTTCAACAAAAAACTGTGGATTCCTCCTTTCACCACGTCGCCTTCTAACCCTGGCACGACCATCGTACATGCCTAAACAAAATCGAGACTCGTCACTCGTCTGTTATTCTACGGCGGCGTCCAGTGCCCCTTGCTCTTTGCGTACGGCCTTCTCGAAGCCATGCCTGACAACACCTAACCACAGTGTCTACACTTCTTTGCACTTTAACTGCAATTGCCCGAAAAGAAAGTCCAGCTTCCCGAAGTCCCACTATACGGCCCCTATCAAACTCACTAAGTTGACGAAATCGTACAGGTCTCCGTACTCTAGGCATCGTAACCGATCGTAAAGGATGTCAAGAACCAAAATCCGCCAACGTTGATTCTTTACTGCGGCTGAGATATTCATTTTTAGAGCGTTAGTGAATTAAAAAAAAGCAGTATAAAAACCGGAATGTCCAACTGATAAGGCTGAAAATTTTTTCACTTGTTATTTACAGTAAGATAAATACATTCACCAACTTTTATTAAAATAAAACCATTTAAACTGGGTGTTCGGATTTATATGTCACTTAGTATATGTTACAGCTAACATTATTGTTCTAATTCTGATAGATACAGTCTTATGAGAGTTGTTGTAGAACTACAAAACTACGACTAGAACTACTTTATGAATAGTCTTGCAGTGCGTTAGGTCCTACTTTTTAGCCTAAAATCTTCTTTATGCCATTGGACAGTAAATTAAATTTAGCGCTCACTATCTATGAAATTGCCTATGCTCATCGACCACTAAAACTGTCGGTATGTATTTCAGCTTGAACACCTGGCATCCGGTGATATAGTACGGCTAATTAGCTTTTTTGATATCCACTTAAAGAATAAAATTTTCACTTATGCTACAGTCCGCAGTACATTGTATATGCATCTCGGACTGAATAGGAGTTAAGGTACCTCTTAGCGTGTTAGATCCCGCGGAGCTTCGCATCAAGTTTCACATCGCGGGCCGTAAACACCCACATAACGCCCTGGATGCATAATTACGGGCCGCAGTGTTTCAGGCTCTTATTGGAATTATCATGTAGAAATGCACAATTCAATTCATATTTCAGGATTCAGAAAGAAGCCAAACGACTTTCGGAAATCTACAGAGACCGGCCACTGTCACCACTAGACACCGCCATTTACTGGGTGGAGTACGTATTAAGACACAAAGGGGCACATTTCATGAAGACTGCTGCTGTTCACATGCCTTGGTACCAATACTACTTAATAGATGTAATAGGATTTTTAGTAATCATATTGACAAGTTCTATTTTGTTAACTATATATTGTATAAAGTTACTGGTGAATATATGTAGAATAACTCAGAAAAATAAAGTAGATTGAGAAATTCTATCGATGCATCTAAACTACCTGATAAGGTAGCAGATTTTTGAGAAATTATTTCTCAAAAAACTAACGTGAAAATATGATACGTTTCAACCGGCGTATAATCTATCTAGACAGTGGATGAAAACCTAAACTAGAAACTGCAATGTAAGAAAAAAGTACTCGTAGCGGTAAAATGCGACAGCCTCTAAATTTCGTTGCAATCTCCGCAATTTCTCCGGGATTTAAGTGACATTCCGACATATAGGTCAACCTACTGTCATGAGAGCTGATTTGTCATGTTTGTACTTCTCGAAGTATCCGAATCATATTTTCAAGCGCACACAGTACAAAAATTAAGCAAACAATAAAAACGTAGTAGGTATGTACGTAGTAGGTTATTCTATGTCTGACAATTATTGTGATAATCGCAAAACTATTAATAACGTTGTCTGGAAAAAGGACAGTTAAGCATTGCATGTGTTTAGTGCAACAAGTATTGTGGATTATATGGTGATATTGTCGCAGGTTTAGTGAAAGTACTAGGTGAATGATTTAATTCAGTCACAGGGACAAATCTTTCTAAGAAACCATAAATTTTGAAATCTATATAGTGAGATTCTATAGTACCATACTCGTAGTAGGCATTCTTTTAAAAATCGTATTAATAACGTAGGTAGTTATCACCATAAGACAAGAACATTATCGACTGCCTTTTTGTATGTTTGGAATCAGTTTTGGGCGTAGCAAAAACGTATTGGAAGTCCCATACGTTTTTAAAACCATCAATCTTTGTTTATGTGTGTTTATAGATGTTTTAAACCACTCTCCACAAATTAGCAAAATAAATACAATTTTAAAACATACAAAAACCTGACTGAAAAACATTTTTTCTAATAGAGAATATTGATGTGATTTAAATATTGCTTAATTATTTTTATTTACAGTCTATACTGCTATAGAAAGCCAGCTACTACCTGATTTGATACTCATGCGCTATAAAATTACGATTATTTAATGAAAAATATCGAAACGCAACGCTATTGGCGTTCCGCTGTCAGTAACTGTCAACCTATCAGTTTCATCAGTTCCAAAGAGGACCGCAGGGGTATTACGTATCTTGAAATGTGACATTATGCCGTTTTTTGACATTATATATGTTTTTTTGTGAAATTATGTAGGTTTTTCTATAACATGTCATCTTACAACTACCTATTTTCCACTTCATGTACACTCGTTTTGCAACTGTGTGCGTTGCGTAAACATCATAACGCTTCAGCTATCCCTGTTTGGAGGTTGTACGTTGTATTTCCATACTGCAGCTGGAAGCAAACGGCAGGGAATAGGTGCATAGTGAGGACTTATGTGCTAATAATCTGCGTTGATGATAATTCCTTTACTTTCTGTCTCAAATACACTTACTTGAGATGTACGCTTCATCCAGAAAATCACATGTAAATTTGCTGAATTTCAAAAACGAAAGAGATAAAAAAGAGAATCCCTGGTAGGCGAAGTATACAGGTATTACAACCAGCTGGTGAGTAAACTGGTTACAGACAGGAATATTTATGAAATCTCAAAAGATTATTACTTTCTACATTGACGGGCAGCATATTCAGTAATAATTTTTTCACATCACTGATTTTATATGCACGCAGACCGATGTACACAATCATCCATATGCGATCTTGGTATTCAACTGATGTTCTTTGTTTCACATTTTCTCAGAAACACATAATCTACAGACTATCTCGGCATTCTGCAACCAACAAAGCACGCTAGCATGTCGTTGAGTCATTCCTTCATAGATGACGCTAGGGTGGCGCTCGCAGCGAGCAATAGCGGAATGAACTATGTACACTAGCAACTATCTAGTTGGTAGGTTAACATTTGGTAATTTTTTTAACATTTCATAGGCTTTTTACGTAATAACCCTGCTGGTTGACGTGGAACGAATCACTGAGCTATCTAACTATACTAAGTGACATATAAATCCGAACACCCAGTTTAAATGGTTTTATTTTAATAAAAGTTGATGAATGTATTTATCTTACTGTAAATAACAAGTGAAAAATTTTTCAGCCTTATCAGTTGGACATTCCGGTTTTTATACTGCTTTTTTTTAATTCACTAACGCTCTAAAAATGAATATTTCAGCCGCAGTAAAGAATCAACGTTGGCGGATTTTGGTTCTTGACATCCTTAACGATCGGTTACGATGCCTAGAGTACGGAGACCTGTACGAACTTAGTGAGTTTGATAGGGGCCGTATAGTGGGACTTCGGGAAGCTGGACTTTCTTTTCGGGCAATTGCAGTTAGAGTGCAAAGAAGTGTAGACACTGTGGTTAGGTGTTGTCAGGCATGGCTTCGAGAAGGCCGTACGCAAAGAGCAAGGGGCACTGGACGCCGCCGTAGAACAACAGACCGTGAAGATCGCCGCCTAAGATTATTGGCCTTAAGGGAGCGGTTCTCCACTACCAGGTCCATTGCAAATGAGTGGTTTGCAGAACACGGAAGACCGATTGGCATGCGAAGTGTTTACCGATGAATGAGAAGTTTTGGCTTGTTTTCATACCGGCCACACTGGGTCCTCCCTTTAACTCGAGAACACCGACGTAATCGCCTTGAGTGGTGCAGACAACGGTCACTCTGGGATCAGGAATGGAACAGTATTGTCTTTAGTGACGAGTCTCGATTTTGTTTAGGCATGCACGATGGTCATGCCAGGGTTAGAAGGCGACGTGGTGAAAGGAGCAATCCTCAGTTTTTTGTTGAAAGACATGTTCATCACACTGTTGAAGTTATGGTTTGGGGTGCTATAGCTTATGGTTCCAGGTCACCTTTAATCTTCATCAGAGGTAACATGAACGCGCAGCGTTATATCCACGAAGTTCTAGAACCCCATCTTTTACCCTATCTTGACACCCTGGCAGATCCAACTTTCCAACAAGATAATGCCCGACCACATGTTGCAAGAGTCACAATAGACTTCTTTCAACATAACGATGTCACATTGTTACCATGGCCACCAAGATCTCCCGACTTATCCCCAATTGAGCACGTGTGGGATACGATGGGTAGGAGATTGCTCAATTTGCAACGTCCTCCTCAGACTCTAGAAGCACTTCGAGAGGAGTTGGTGGTTGCCTGGAATGAGATACCACAGGAGGACATTGACCACCTGATCAGAAGCATGCCTAGGCGCGTTGGAGAATGCGTAGCACATCAGGGTGCATCCACACATTATTAAAGGTCAAAGGGCTTTAAAGCAGTGCAATCATTTTGAAATGTTTATCATTTACTTAGTATGCTTCATTAAGTACTTATACAAAATTTTATTAAAATAAAACCATTTAAACTGGGTGTTCGGATTTATATGTCACTTAGTATACATTGGGTTACGCCCCTTTTTCTACAAAAACGTCAACACCGTTTGAAAGCGGACGTGCTGCCACCTGCATGAGAATTTCAAGTCAAAGTCGGGAAAACGACAAAAGAAACATAACACCAAATTAACCATGAGTTGTGACGTCACTGCGAAAAGCGCAAAAAAATGCGGTGTTTAAATCAACGTCATTGTCATTGCACTTATACATATTAAACTACAGACATTTCGACGAATGAAATATGTGTTTACGCTATTATACTAACATAAATAATCGACATAAAATGATTAAAGCATATTTTCTATTGTGCTATCAGGACGAAACCATCAAGCCGTTTGGTCTGAAGCCCGTGAAAGAGAAATTTCAAACTTGCATTGTCAATTTAAATCCGCCATTTTGTTTTATACACTTTTAATATAGCCAGTGTCACTCGCACTGCTAAGACGAATCCAACGACACCTTATATGTCAAAATCCATCAAGGCGTTTAGCCTGTTGCTAGTGAAATAGAATTTTTGGATACATAGATGCATACCTACGCGCGAAAAACATTACCCTCCTTCAGAGTCGGCATTTCTTAAAAGGTAAAATTTTGGCCTTCAAATAATCAACTAATTGACACGTTTCACTGAATTTTATTATTATGGTGATGTGGTGTGTGTGATGTGGATACACACTATGCCGATGCGAAAAATACCAGCCCATTTATCATTGCTTTATCTTCAATATGAGTATATGTATACAAAACAAGGTGTGTGGCCAGTGTTGCAGGGGGGAGATATAGGTACAGGTATAGGTACAGCATGGATGAAATTAGGTTATTGTAAACCTTTCAATATAATGCTGGTAATTTTCTTTGAAAAATAAATAAAGTACCAGCCGAAAAATAGAAAAAGGGTAACGAAATGACAATAGTTTTAAATAAAAAAAAAACGTATTCAAAAATATTTAACATATAAACCAACTGTTTTCACAGATATGTCACTGGAAGTAATGCTTTTGATAGCAGTTGTTTTCGTGCATACCGGAAGTGATGCGCACAACATTCTAGTGGCAGTCAGCCATCCGGGAGTGAGCCACTTCAAATCATATGAAAATCTATTCTTATGCTTAGCTAAGAAAGGTCATAATGTAACAGTGATCAGCCACTTTCCTCAGAAGAAACTTATACGGAATTATAGGGATATCAGCATTAGAGAAGACATACCTTACAGGTACGACGATATCTTAGAAAGATTCAAATCGGCATGTGTTCACTTACACATGCTGTTAAGCTGAAGAGATCAAGAATTGGTTAACGGGGGGAAAATGCAAATATCAAGGAAAACTAAATCTGCCTTTCCTGCTAAGTAATTTTTCCTTGTTCTAAATAAGAGCGGTGTACAGGAAGAAAAGTGTAGAAGATGATAGATATCCAAGTAAGATTTACAAAAAAAGTCAGAGATAGAGATATGTACTATATGTCAGCGGTGTCTATGTCGTGTCTATATCGTAGAATTGACCATTTCATGAAATAATGGAGTATTTGATGAAATGTTTGCATATCATGAAATGGCCACCTAAATTCGACCATATCATCGCCGATTAACGATTTGGTCATCCACGATTGATCATAACGCAAAATAGAATATTTAATAAAAATCTTGAATATGTTATGCACTCGTTTATTGTTCTTTAAGTACGACAACCGTCTTGATTAAAATCACTAATTTAAAATTAAAATAAAATAATTACGTTAAAACATTCTTAAATGGCAAAACGTATCACAAAGAAAATTTTTGAACATGTCGGAAATCACAAATTAAGTTATTACCTCGCATGATCACCCTGATCTGCTTTATATGACACATAATGAACACATGAAATAAAAATTAAGATGAGTTTTCCATACATAGAATAATATAATAGTTCAATAGACATACACAATATTTTAGCTGGTACACGATTTTGACTTATATATAATAAATTAATGATAATGTAATTTAACAGTAAAATACTAACCGGTAAAACGGCTTTTTTAAAAAAATTTTGATCGGCATCACCCGCACATTAGTTGAGAACTCGAGTACCTTTGTGTCGTAAAGTCTCTTAATTTCACTTTCCGCCTCATTTGATAACGAGTTATTAGAATTTTCACTTCGAAAATGTCAAAAAAGCGCTGCCTCTATCGGCCATTAGAGTAAATGTTTCTCGATTTGATCAAACATGCTTGACCATTTAATGAAGTTTAGTTGACCATATCGTTAAACGATTAGTTATCATTGATTTGATCAACGCACATCACGATTTGGCTAATGAATTATGCTACATTCAATGAAACGGTCTATTTTACGATATGCTCAAGACACCTACATTATCTATCTAATGAGTTTTTTATTGCAGGGGTTTGATGGACATGAACAGCAGTTTCAAGTACGACATTTTGGGTATAAAGATTCAGAAACTGTTATTGCAGTTTGCAGTACAGAGTTGTGAGAGTATGAAACACATCAACTTCCAGAAATTTGTGAAAGAGAACAACCAATTCGATTTGGTCATCATCAACGAATTTAGCAACTTATGTTACAGAGGCCAAAAAGTATAACGCACCGTACATAGGTAAAGATCATTTTTAACCGCCACACTGCTGTGGGGGATGATTACTTCTTATGAATGTTCAGAAATGCGTGGAGATATTCTAATATTAATAAACATTCCATTAAACACAGTGTAAATATACGGAATTGAAACAAGAAACATGAAATAAAATTAGTACAACTTCTTGTGTATTCCACCGGTAATTGCAGAATCACAATTAATAGAGAAATTCCGAAATAGTATCGTAAACTTAAAACTAGGATAAATTTGGAATAATCAGTAGCAGGATGAATAGAAAAATCTGACGATACAAAGTTCTTAAACAAAGAGAACCTATATAAAGATAAGACAAACAAGGCGAATGAAATTATAGAGAGATAAGAGATGACTCCAAAAACATGACGTCCACAAAACAGCCGATGGCATCTAAACAATAGTGTCCGACAAAACTTTCGGTTTCGTGAAAAATTATTATTCATGTCATATAATATCGGTCTGTTCAATTATGTCTGTTATATTACATTCTAGTGGGCTATTGCACCAACATTGAACTTGAATTTTGTAAGCCTACAGAAATCTAGGAAATTTTTTATATAATTAAGATCACAAATTATTGGGGAATTCCCGTAAAGGCTCAGTTTCAAAACTGTACTAAATTTCATAAAAAATGCCCCAGTTACTAATCTCTTGGAAGTAGCTTTTGTTTTTGGTCTTTGAATAACTCTTCTAGAGAACAACTATTTATTAGTTCAGGGATACCCAAATCATCGTTTAAAAGATCATCATGACCAATAAAATCCATTTTTGAAGACTAAAAATATATCAGGTAGACGATATTTAACCTCCAACAGTTGAACGTTAAACACAGTTCCCAAAATTTCAAATGGTGTTTAAGTACTTGTGCAATAGAATATAATAGTATTGCTGCAACAGGCCATAAACTGTTATTTTTGTTTTGTTCTCTGTTTCTCTTACACAACGTCCGAAACAAAAAGGCATTATTTATTTTGTGTTAGTACTGTTTTAGTTTTCTAAAGCTTAGTCATAATGATATTTGATGAAGACTGATTGTTACATATTAGGACTTTGATTTTTTTTTCTTTAATAAACCGCTATTATTATTACTAATGTCAATTGGTAGGGACTGAGTTTGTTTTTTTCTTGGAGATACACTACTATCATACCTCCCAACCTCGCATACCTCAGTTGGTTTAAGCCGAAACCAGAATTGGGTCTGAAATTTTGTTTTGGGTGAAATACTAGTTTCGGTCGGACACTACTAAACACGGCTGTTCTCATTTAGTCGAAAATAAATGCGTTGTTGTCAGAAAGATGATCCTTTTTGGATGAATTTATTGACCATCACTGGTAGTAAACGCACTTTTTGATCAAATTTACTTATGCTTGGACATTTATTCATAATGGGGATATTTAAACTATCCCCAAAATCTTAAGCTATTTAACTTTTGATTTAAAGCCCTATGCGGAATGCTACACGACTTACTCTAGTAATAAAATAAGTATGTACGTGAGCTTGAAATTCAAGTTTTCTAACCACAAAATTGCTTATTTGGCCAGTCGAAGGTCTATTTGACATACTCGCGAATTACCTAGATAGCCGGGCCTTAAGATGATGTTTATTTATTTATTATAACTTTTCGAAGTAACCACCAAAAACCGTGAAAAAAGCTGAACTCCATTCTGCTTAGTCTAAATGTAACGTTTTATAAATACTTCATGGCAGGTTGGCAACACCGCATCGGTAGCCAAGAACATAGATCTCTGTTTAAGCCTCTATAGTCAAAATCGCGGAATATGGCGATTACGTCATCACTTTACTCTGTAGTAAAGACAAATGACAGCGATTTGTGAATATTTTTAATGAAGTTTCAGATATGTTAGACAGATACAAATAGAAGTTTACTGTCTAAACAAACTGTATTTCTCAATTGCATGTATCCGACAAAGATAAACGATTTTTTATGTTTCATTATTGATCATATTTGAAAGATGAAAAGTTAGGTTAGGGTAAGTTTTGGTGAACAGATGTGCGAGGAAATGCTGATTTTTCTAAAATACATAAATAAGAATTTACTGCAAATAGAAGTCTTAGAATGTAAATATATGTACGGATAATCACTTAAAACCATGACATATAATGCAAATAAATATAATCAGTGAAATAACCTAACTTCAGTACAATTTATGGTATAACGTAATAGTCATCTTTCGTGATTTTGACTTTACTTTAATGAAGATGACTCACAATGTCAATGGGACCGACCGTCAGATTATAAAGGCATTCCACAAAGTCTTTTCTCTTTATACGACTATAACTACCCTTTGGTACAACTGTCTTCCAGCGCGCTGGATAGATCATAAAAAGTGACAAAAAGCTATTCGTTCATGCAACATTTCGTAAATTACGTGTTCTCTAAATGCTAAATTCACGTCACGTTGTGTACAATTTCTGTGATCTACGCTCAAACGGATTTTGAGGATATGCGCGCATTTGTTTGTAATTTTTTCCGCGTCAACTTTTGTAATAAATTTCCTTACTGTTCGTCCAAAGAGGTTACAATTTTATACAATTTCTCCAATACTGTCAGTATATAAAACAGATAAAAGTAATATCAATAGCCTTTTCATCAGTAAAATTTGAGGAAGACGGTTTCGCGAAAATACTGCTTCCTCTTCCTGAGAAAAAATATTTTTTGACGTTAACGTGTAAAGCTCAAAAATAGAAAATTCAAATCAACTTTTTCTATCCGCCATATTTTATCTGAGCAGCGCCACCTCCACGACCAGCCCGTCGCCAACGATTTGAATAACATTTGCAAGGCGCACACACATATGCCACGTCAGCAATGGCGCACGAGTAACGTTTTTTGTTACGAGGATTGATAAGACAAGGTTCCCAGAAAGGTCTAGTCACACTAGACAGTGCGAGGAAAAGTCCGGCAACACCGCCAAGTACGAGATTCGTTCCATAACTCACTTTTTTCCACGCCAAAGAGACTATTATCAGTGAATATTCATAATCACCTTCCAGAGGTGTATGGCGACAAATGTATGTCTGTTCAACACGGCCAAAGGTGATGCATGCAGGTCAGTTAGTGCCGTTTGAATGTCCGACTGTCGGTCTTGGAGGCGGTTCTTCCGACCGACCCTAAGCTCTCTTCAACACTTTTCTACGTGTTGGATGGTCATACACTTGTCGCCATACACCTGTCATCTGACGAGATGTATCCACGGGTGGAGTCCCTTTGCCGTGAAGAAAGCGAATTATGGAACGAATCTCGCACTTGACGCGATGCAAAATGGGAGCCTGTATATCGAGCAGCTGCTGACCCAAGTATGTGAGGCGTAGGGGTGTTGCCGGGTGTCGTCACGCACATTCCAGTGTGGCTTGAGATCTTTGTGGACCTTATTTCTGCATCGACCCTCGTACTTTACTATAGTGGCAGATGAGAGTACATTCGAAGGATATATTTAGTCTGATATTGCGAGTATTACGAGCAATGAAACAATAACAAAATTTCTACGGACTGTAGGAGCTAACATAAAGTTTCCTTAAATCGAATTGCAAATAGTATGTAAATGGATATCATTACATATGGCTGTTCATTTCAGCACTTAGAGAAATATATCTCAGAATCAACGCACGGGGTAATATATTTAAGCTTTGGTTCAACCTTGAAAGGACACACATTGCCAAAAGAGAAAAAAGATGCGCTCCTAGAGGTCTTCAGGGATATGCCTGAAAGGATTATATGGAAATGGGAAAATGACATAATGGATGGAAAACCTGAGAACATCTTATTACAGAAATGGACACCGCAGTTTGATATTATATGTAAGATTAGCCTTGGAAAAGATTCAGTCAATAACAACTCAGAAAAGCATAGCTTTGAACTGTAGCTGTTCCTGTGATAAAAATGATAGGATGAACATTTACATGAATGCATTTTGGCGAGATGACATACCTACAGGTATTTCGACTAGTTTATTCTTTGGAGCATCAACTTGTGTGAACTTTTTACATTTTCCAAGATGTGTTGTGTTGGCAGTACACTCGAATTTTTGTAACATAAGATGCTTCATAGATCGATAGATGCTGACTTTATGGACAGTCCTACAAACAGTTTGGAACTTCATGTTTGACTTTCTAGCTCTGATTTCTGCAATGACACGTTTACTGACAATTCAATACTGATATTATAGGTCACCCAAATGTGAAAGCGTTCATTTTCCAAGGTGGAATTTCATCTCTAGCCGAAGCAGCTTATTGTGGAATACCTTCTATCGTCATACCTTTTTATGCTGATCAGCTAACAAATGCATTAATAGCTGAGTCCAAAGCAGGAGGCGTTGTTTTGCAGATAGATGATATCAATGTGAAAAATTTTAGAAATGCTATCAAAGAGGTATTCTCTCCAAAGTAAGTATACTTCACAAGAACGAAATTTCCCTATACAGTTTCAGCCTATTATACTGTCCCTAACATTCGATGTCTTTTAAAGAAGAAAAAATAAAAGTAGACCGAGAACACTGGAAAAAGGTTATAGAGTACAACTGACGAGAATAAAACCGAGCTATCTACTAAAGCGCTTGCGTCAGAAATGTATTCCAGGTTCTGTGCATCTCTCTCGTCTGTATCTCTCTTTTGCTTTCATCATGAACGTGAAACGTACATAACTCCAGTTTTTACAGTTGCAAGCAGAAACATTGGTTAATGCTAATTTTAGGGTCGATTTCACCAACATTAATATTATGGACCAGTGGGAAAATACCTTATCGAAATGCAATTTGACGAAAGCTGTCAAAGCTCTCAGAACATCAGTGATTTCTATTGAAATATTGAATAAGATCGTGAAAATTCGACTGTATTATAAACAAGACCACTTTTTGATTCCAACATGATGCTTTTGTAGAGAAAAAACAGGACAACTTTCACGTATTTTGATATATTACATTTAACAATCCGTTTCCCCCTCAGCGAATGGGAATGCAGCAAATAATGGCTCGATTTTCTAGCTGTTAAATTTGGCAGCAGATTTGGACGTTTGTTAATGCATGGCACTCTAGAATTTACCAACTTCAATATACTGAAAGTTAACATTACACACCTGTTAAATAGTGTAGATTTGTCTGTATTTTGCAAGAAAATAGAATATAAAATACATTCCATCCAATTCCTCATCTTCCTTTACGTCATAATAGTAATCATTTATTAATTTATGGGCTAATGAATTTCTTCATTCTTGTGTTTTTGACTAGCGATCGTTGACTGGCGGGGATATCTATCTGTCACTCGAGGGTTGCCAAGTCTAACGACGATCACGTCCCATGGTGGAGGTTTAACATACAGGTCGCCTAGCCGTGGGGATGCAGTGGTCGGGATGAATATCACGGCATGTCTGGTAACAACGTATGAAGTGAAACTCGCTAACTTCACAAATTTGAAGATTTTGTACAATTTCTTTGAAAATGATGAAAGATATGTAAGATTTGGCAGGGTAATGTCGCAGCCAAATGGCAGTCACTCTTTCTGACACAGTCCGGATCGAAAGATGACGATACTCGTGAAATGTATTGATACTTCTAAATATAGGATCCTATCGAACATCCCTACTGTCAAGATGTATAGCCCAAGGTGCCGACGGAGCTATTTTGCGGCGTCATGGAAATAATTTTAAATTTTCGTTTGCATTTTTTCAAGTGTTGTGCAATGATTTTGGGAAAAATGTCACGAATAGTCTTATAAAGCATAGTAGAGTATATTTCATCAGTTGGCGGAACTTACTCCACTGGGACCAGGAGGGTGAAACGGGATATTAATGCACAATCTGGCAACCCTGTCGCACCCTCACAAAATGGCCGCTGACAACCACACAAGTCACCGTGTTGTGATTGAATAGCATGGAATTAAACCTTCAGAGTATGTTTTCTGACTGGTACTAAGAGTTGACAGAGCCCACACATGTGTCACTCCTTGAAATGCAATAATCAGCTGTATTCAAATAACGTCTAATATAAATATAACCCAGAATATCTACTCAGTGAAAAAAGAAAAATATTGCAAATTTCTAGTTTTTCTGCAGGTTTTAGGTTTGCTGGTAGCTCTACGACGTATATTTGGGTATTTCTTAATCGCTGTGAATATAGTGTGGATGTTTGTTTAGTTCCTGAACAACGAAAAATATTCTACTTTATGGAAAATAATATTATCATGAATAAAAAATTAACAAGGGTAATTAAAACATGAATTTTATTCAAAAATCAAACATTTGTTTAAATTTTGACTGAATTATCTATGATCTAGGATCAGAAATACTGACGGTACAAGACGTAAATGTACTGTGTTGGGCAAGATATAAATTTTTAAAGGTATTTTATATTTTATATTAGTATGTTATTTATATTTATCATTAATTTCAACTACCTTACTTACTTATTATCGTTGACTTGCCCGAAGGCTTGAGATTGCCAAGATAGAATAGCTTTGATCGAGCTTAGTTAAATATGGAAATTGCTGACTTATGTCTTCGAAATAATTATTGGAGAACTGTCAGAAAACTGCAATATATTTTTCATTCCGGTGCCAATTCTTGTTAATGTTGATTAAATCCGTTCATTTTCCAGGATGCGTCAAGAAGCCAAAAAGCTTTCGGAGATCTATAAAGATAGATCACTGTCACCATTAGACACAGCGATATACTGGGTTGAGTATGTATTAAGGCATCAAGGAGCACATTTTATGAAGACTTCAGCCATCAACATGCCTTTGTATCAATACTATCTAATAGATGTTATCGGATTTTTAGTATTAGTATTAACTGGCGTTATCGTATTACTGGTGTATTCTATGAAGAAATTGTTACATGCGTTCAAAGTTTCTCGAAAAAGTAAACCGGAATGAAAGGATTTAGCTATATATTTAATGGTACATGTATTACAACAGCAGTATTACTTATTATTATAATGAAAATGCAAACTAAGACATCTTTAATTTCCTACCAGAATGTGTATCAATATAGGGTTTAGTTTATTCTCATCTTCTTCATCAATTCTTAGAGCATGAAAAAATGTCATAGACGGTAACGAATGCGTTGAAATACCATTTCCGTTTTTTTCCTTGAACCATCGCGAAGGCCTAAGGCCTAAACATCCATGATACCGTGGGGCTATAGGGGGATACAGGGGGAAGGGAGAGACGCCACACGAATTCTAGTGAGATAACACGTCTGCATCCAACATGCACACATTCTGGCCCCGCCTTACGGATCCGCCGTGTGGTACCTCCGTGTGCAACAATCAGAGACCGACTACCTCCTAGTAGGAAGTAGGGAACTAATCAGCAGCTACGTAAAAAAGACATTTTAACGTTGCAATTGACAATACTGAAAAATGACATTCTTCCAATTGACGAATAAGGTTCTTGAAAAATATCACTTTATGCAGATCTTAAAACAGATTAGCAGCAAAAACCTGCTAAAAATCATTCAAATGAAAAATGTACAACGTTCAACTATTTTGGCGTCTTTTTAGGGCACTGCATCTCTACGCATTCTTTATAGGAACTTATCATTGCGTTTATTCATCCGACATAGCTTACATCGTCTTCTTTTGATAAAACTAGTACAGCACTGGTGCATATTTGATGTTCTTCTGACAAACATACTGTACATGTTCATGCTCTTTTGGTCTGGACTTCGAACTACTTTTGCACTCAATGAACAAATATTGCACTGCCTGGAAAACCTCGTGCTAGTGTTCTCAAATATCAACAGTATCATATTTTACATCTTTTACTTGTAGCGTTGCATGCAACTATTTTTTTCTGCCAGTTTTCTTTTTTCTTTGAAAATTCACCACAATAGCTCTGAAAAGGTCAACTAAATGAAAGATTTTTCATCGACAGATGACAGCACTGGACACGAAATGACAGATGTTTTATGTTCTTTTGGGGACTGATCAGCGTGTGTCCTAAACGTTCTGGCACAAAATTCATTGGCTTTAATTTTAACAAACAAAAATAATATCAAGTTGCCTTTTGAAACAAAAGTTTGTTTACTTACTTTACTGTCAATTGCCATTTATTTTGAAGCTTTCCCTTTAAGATGTCGTATAAATTAGAAATAAGAAAAAGTATCTACACAAGTTGGTTGGGCGGGTACCCAAAACTGAAATCTTTCGGAAATTCCGTAATAAAAACATTTCACGCAGAAGCATTTATCGAACACTAGCGAAGTGCGAGCAGGAAATACCATATCTGGATCTCCCAAAAAGTGGAAGACCACGTACATTTTCTGCACAGAGGTCAGAGAGATTGGCGAGAAGAGCAAAAAATCAGGCTGGAACGTCAACACGGAGACTGGCTCGTCAATACAAATCTTCAATGAGTACGATATCATTGGAATTGAAGGCGAATGGTCTTAAATGTCGAAAGGGACTCAAGTATCCCAAATACTCTCTCCGCAACTACTTGGTATACCAAGATGATGTCATCAACTGAGGCACGTACACTTTGCCAATGGGAAAATCGTTATTTTAGATGACGAAAAGTCACTTTGAGTAATTCTGAAATGAAGAGAAACGACAGATTTTATACGGACAACGGAGAGGCATACTCTGAGAATGTTAGATACACACAGAAAGCGAAATTTGCAGATAGAATCCTTGTCTGGTGCGCAATTTCTAACAGGGGTGTATCCCAACCTTTTGTGGAAAGAGTGAGGGGTGAAGCTTCGAATAGCCAGATCTGTATTGAGTTCTACCTCTCCAAATTGCTTCAGTTTGTCCATGAACATCAAGCTAATGACCATATCATGTTTGGCCAGACCTACCATCATGTCATTACTCAAAAGATACCCACAACTGGCTTCGAC